TCTGAATTTACACAAATTACAGCGACGTTGGGATGGGACGACTATGCATTAATCCTAAGATTCATGTACGGACTTAAGTCACACCTGAAGGATGAACTGGCAAGAATGGACCGACCGGAGACCATGAGCGAAATCATCGACGTGGTGATCCGCATTGACAACCGCGAATGGGAACGGCAACAAGAGAAGAAAGAGGTGGAACACTGGCGACGAGACCGTCGACCAAACCACCAAGGGCAACGGTTTGGGCCTAGGACAGGCGCCAACCAAGGCCGACGGAGGGATGACCGGCGGGATGACCCGTACGGACCTCGGCCAATGGAGCTAGACGTAGTTAGGCTCCCCGACGAAGAACAGAAACGAAGAAAAGAGAAGCAACTGTGTTTCAAATGCGGGAAACCAGGGCATTACTCACGCGAATGCCGCAGCGACGGACCACCAAGACAACAGCAGATCAGAGCAACAAGAGCTATCGACAACCGAGAGCAACAGCTCCGAGCCACTAGACAACCTCTTGATAATGAGGAGTGGAACAAAGAAAACCAAGTACCTGGTGACCATAAGGGATGGAATAACCAGATAAACGAACGGGACTGGGACAGTCACAGTGACGCAGTCACCGAAACCGAATTCCCTGAGATCGAATGGAACGACCAGGAAGAGGATAACGACATCCTAGGAAACAAGATCGAGAGTCAAGGATGGACCCAGTATGGTTCCTGGAATCAACCCATCGACTCCCAGGAACTGATGGAGGTACTCCCAAACGCGGATAGCGGGAACCTAGAAGTGGAAACGGTCCCGGAGACCCTACCAGAGTTCCTGGAATTGCCTCAGAAAACTCCTAACAACACCGCGACGAACAGCGAGGAAGACAGAGGGACATGCCCTTGTCTTAGGATCGACTGTGGATATATGGGATATGAACGACACCCACACCACAGGATGCAATCGGCAAAGCACTGTACTGATGACACCTGCGAACAACATACGCAGCTAAAGGCTCAGAAAGGCTACCGACCAAGTACCAGAGAAAAAGAAACACCAAATTGGAAGAAGGGGTTCCAGGGGGACTTCGACGGAAAATTTAGGGCAACATATCCATGCAGCGACCTAAACTGCTCGTGCAATGGATATGCCCGACACCCACGACACTCTGCAATGGCTGTAGTTGGATGCTACGACCATGACTGTGAGATCCACTACCAAGGGAAACTAAACTACGGGATTCAGCCATAAAAACCAAACTGGTTGAACATGCCCAGGTGGAAAAAAGAGTATCGAGGAATCTGGTATGGAAGCAAGCAAATCAGGACACAACAAATCGCAGCGACCAAATGGGGTGCACACCTCAAGGTCACCGCCATGATCACTGGGCGACAGGTTAAAGTCCTTGTCGACTCAGGAGCATGTGGGAACTTCATGGACCCATAATGCAACCAGAGACTACGGCTATGGGTGAAAGAAAAGGAAAAGCCACAACCCATTATCGGACTCAACGGACAGCGACTCAACAAAGGGCTGATCCTAGAAACCGAGCCGGTAGAAATGATTATAGGCGAACACAAGGAAAACATCGAATTCGACATCACCGAGCTAGGCACGTTTAACATCGTCCTCGGGATGCCATGGTTACAACACCATAACCCGGTAATCCAATAGGATACTGGAGTCATTTAATTCGATAATTGCGACTACACGCAAGGAACCAAGAGAGATAAGGAACACCAGAAAGGACCTGGAAAGGGAGCAGGTACCTATGAGGGCACTCAGGCAAGGAACCCTAACATAGCCACTCAGCCACAAGGCAAGGCCCACCAGATCACAGACATAAGCGTCATCGCAACCACGGAACAGCGACCTGATATAACGGATGACGAACTCAGAGAATATGTCGTGATAGCTCACGGAGAGCAGACCCTCTGCGCGACAGAGGAAGGAACACCAGAAATACCCGAAGAATACCGAGACTTCGAGGACGTGTTTACACTACCACCAGAAGGCCAACTACCAGAGTATGGACCTTTCGACCACGAAATCCGGATCAACAAAGGCAAGGAACCGATATTCATGCCTATCTACCAACTATCCGAGAAAGAACAAAAAGTACTCCGGGAGTACATCGAAGAAAACCTACAAAAAGGTTACATCAGAAAATCATCCTCATCAGCAGGATACCCTGTCTTGTTCGCACCCAAGAAAGGAGGAGAACTTCGACTTTGTGTGGACTATCGACACTTAAATTCGATTACTATCAAAGATCGACACCCATTACCTTTGATTTAAGAAATCCAAGACCGGCTTATGGGAGCAAAGTACTTCATGAAGTATGATATTACCAACGCCTATAACCGATTGAGAATAAAGGAGGGAGATAAATAGAAAATAGCATTCCGGACGAATATGGGACACTTCGAATATGTGGTGATGCCTTTCGGGCTAACCAATACGCCAGCATCATTCCAGCGATTTATATTTAACGCACTGGAAGGATACTTGGATATTTTTGTAGTAGTATACCTAGACGACATCCTAGTCTACTCGAAGACTATAGAAGAACACATGGAATATAACAGACTAGTACTACAATAACTTCGAGAAGCTAAAGTAACTCTTAAGTTGAAGAAGTGCGAGTTCCACACAGAAGAAACAGGCTTCCTGGGATATATGATTACCAGAGAAGGATTCAGCATGGAAGAAGAAAAAATCAGGAGTATTATGGAATGGCCTACACCCACATATGTGAAAGACATCCAACGGTTCTTGGGACTCTGCAATTACTACCGAAGGAGCATAGACAGCTTCGGGAAAATCACAGAGGCACTAACCAAGCTGACCAGAAAGGACATATAATGGAATTGGGACGACAAGGCACAAGAAGCATTCGACACGCTTAAAGAGAGGTTCAAGGAACGACCAATCATGGGGAGATTTAACCCAGAAAACCCAATCACTGTGGAAACAGACGCATCAGACTATGCACTTGGGGCGAAACTAGTGCAGACCGAGACACTACCAAGTGGCAGCAAAAGACGGTGGACCATCGCATTTTGGTCTAGAAAAATGATACCAGCGGAGATGAACTACGACGTACACGACAAGGAACTTCTAGCGGTCGTTAATATATTCAAGGTTTGGAGACCTTACTTAGAAGGAGCGAAACATCAGGTTTTGGTCAAATCGGACCATAAAAACCTCACGTACTTCACAACGACGAAGATGTTGACATAACGACAAGTCAGATAGGCGGAAACGTTATCGCAATTCGATTACAGAATCGAACACACCAAGGGTGTGGAGAACGTAACAACCAACGCACTCAGCAGGAGACCTGACTACAAAGAAGGCACTAAGGAAGCTGTGCCAGCTATCCTAAAAAAAGACGGGGAAGGAAACCTCGTATATAACCATCAGACACTCGCAGCAACAACGTACAGCATCAACAGCGAGTGGCTGGAAAAAATCAAGGCAGCAACACAGAACGATGAACAACTATAAAACATTATGCAAACAGTGGAAGACGAACAAACAACAAGAGATGGACTTGTGTGGATCCACGGACTTATATACATTCCAAGGGAACTACAGCAAGAAGTCATCACCAAACACCACGATGTACCAACACACGGATATATAGGTATCGAGAAGACAATTAAACATATCACACGAAATTACTACCTACCGAATATACATCGAAAGGTCAAGAATTACATCAAGAAGTGTAATACATGTTTACAAAACAAACCCACTCGATATCTACTGTATGGTGAGATACAAAACAAGGAAGTACCGATACACCCATGGGAGTGGATCACGATAGACTTTATCACCAAGCTACCAGAAACAGAGGATCAACATGATATGATTATTGTCATCGTCGACCGACTCACCAAATACGTATATATGTTACCCGCGTCAGAAACCATGACGGCGGAAGGGATCGCAAAAACACTGATACGTTATATCTTTACGAACCATAGAATACCTCGAAAAATCACCTCGGATCGAGACAAGCTGTTCACATCGAAATTCTGGCAATCAGTGGCGGATCAACTAGGCATTGATCATAGACTTTCAATAGCCTACCACCCGCAGACTGACGGACAAACCGAACGGGTTAACCAAACATTGGAACAATACCTATAACACTACGTGAACTATCAGTAAGACAACTGGGCAGAATTGCTACCCATTGCACAGTTCGCATACAACAACACTATACACGCGACTACAGGATTGTCACCGTTCTACGCAAATTACGGAAGAAACCCAACACTCATCGGTGAACCCATCGGGGAACACGCGGTGGCGCCAGGGGCGCAAGAACAAGTGGAGAACATCAAAAACCTACACCAGCAAATGGTTAGAGATATCGAGTTCTTTAATCATCGGATGAAGATATACGTCGACCGGAGGCGCACACCCAGACCAGACATAAAGCCAGGCGACAAGGCCTACTTACTGCGACGAAACATCAAGACAAAACGACCAAGTGAGAAACTAGACCACAAGCGATTAGGACCATTTACCATTGACGAGAAAACTGGACCCGTGAACTACCGACTACGACTACCGGAAAGCATAAAACGAGTTCACCCAGTATTTCATATCTCATTATTGGAACCAGCGCCAGAGAGTGCAGAAAACGCCACAGAAGTTGAAATCGAAAACGCTAGCGAAGAAGAATACGAGGTTAAAGAAATCCTAGCGGACCGATGGCACGACAATCAGCAACAACTCCTAGTGAAATGGCAAGGTTACCCTACCTCGGAAAACACATGGGAACCCATCAAGAACTTGACTGGCTGTCACCAACTGGTGAGGCAGTACTACGCGCAGGCGAAGAGAACCCCTACGGGACAGAACGCAAGAAAGCGTCGAAATCAATACCATCCAAAGAAAAACTGGGATCCACCGACGCAATCATCTACGTCAGAGTAGGATCATCACCAGCACACATTACCGCAAGAACCTGGTCACGGACGACCGGAAGAGCAGTTTTATCGGACCCAGTAGCGGCACTGGAAGACTCTGCTTCACATTCTTTACGACAATCGACCTCGACACGTTCTTTTTCGAGACGTTCGATCTCTTCTTTTTCACGACGCTCAAGCTCTTCGAGTTGAGCTACCTCATCGTATTTACGGGCGATAAAGTCACCCGCATATTTCTTCAGCAAAGCCTCTTGACGATCCAGGCGCATCACAGCGGCCAAGGCCTCGCGACACTTCTCAGCCACTTCGTCCTGGGCGCGGACGAGACGGCGCCATTCGGAATCGGTGAAAGTTCTCTCGGGCATCTCGCACTTGATGCCGCGACCAGCACGAACACAACACGAACAACTTTTCGAACGATCGGACCGGATACAGGCGTGACGAAGACGAGTGCAACGGACACAGGGAAGGAACGATTTGAAACCTTCGTCCTCGATTAATTGATGGAGTTTACGACTGGACACTCCAGAGGAAGACATGGTCAGCGAACATGGGAAAATACAGAAAAAAGAAGGCCTCACCTACCTGAGGGGGGTTCAACGTTTAAAAAACAAATCAAAGGTCGTTTGGGGACCAAAAGACCTGAAAGAGGGGGATGGTGTTACGGACCCACTACGGAGGGATCTCCCAGGAGCTACTATGACCCAATCAGTTGGCGGTCGGGCCAAGTACGGACGACCAGCCATAACGGACACACGGCCCAAGGGGGGCGCAGGGCTACAGTGGTGCCTGAGGCACCAACAGGAAGCCGGATATGGCCTGTGGCTTACCATTGCAACATATACTGGCTATACGGGAAGGACGGTGCATGAGAGGCCACTTCCGGCCCCATGACACGTGACCACGGATCTATTCCAACAATAGATCCTGTCCGTTCAACGGAACGGACCTGACCTGATACAGGAACGGACCTGTCCTGTCAGAGGACAGGATAATAGGAAGGACTGGATATATAAGGACACTCTTTACCCATCATGTATTTAGTTCTTCGCGATTATTACTCTATTGTTATTGAGACCTACAGTACAGCAATTCAGATACTTTGATCACAGTCGAACCTTTTGAAGACCAACCTCAAACTAGCTTGGGAGCTCACTCGTGATTCCATCACTCGTGACTGACTTGCTAGCGGACACCCTAATCAAGCATTACCGTGCAAGGATCCCTATAGACTCGAGCCCGTGTAAGGCCCAGCGACGGCGACGGTACAGTTGCAGGATAACGGCTTGCGGTAAGTAACACTTTGGAAGTGCATACTCACGTTGCTTGACAGCCGGTTCGTAACAATAGCTTGATATAATCTTGGATACTTTAATAGTATCACTTACGCTATTTATCTCCCTAATCAGTAGTAGAGAAAAAAAGTAAGTTTCTGATCAGATATAAGAATTTACCTTATTTATAAAAAGATCTCCTTATATACCCTTAGTCTTCTGATAATAGCTTTTAAGCTTTGCTATGGCAGCCTTAAGAGTAGTGAATATAAGTTATTTCTATTATACCCTCTTCTAATAGAGCTAGGATATAGACTCTTCTAAATGATTAAAAAGATTATTATAAATAGTAAAAATTAAATAAACTATAATATCTTTAGTCTTTAATAATACTATTATAAATTAAAAAAGGGGTAGATAATCCAAAGAAGATATTTAATCTAATACTACTTATTAGGATTAAGTATTGTCAGCAATTCAGGCTGATTCTCTGCCTGAATTCCTGGGACCAAAAGTGGCTCTTTTGGTCTAAAGATTGTGCTGACTAATTCATCCCGCGATCAACCATTTTGTTGCGGAATGAATGGCTATTGTTTTGATCTGATCCATCAGATCAAAGATCATCTTCTCTCGTCCGAGAAGATTCGCAACCCGAACCCCGTTGTTGAGATCAATGGTTACAAGATGAGATGAAAGACTTGATCATTTCGGATTCCGTGGATCTTTCATCCCATGTTCTAAGACCTTTGGTCTTATGTTTATCTGTTTAGTCTAATGTTCTATAAAACCTGATCTTACCCCTTAGTTAGTGGAGCATCGAATTCAATCTTTTTGGGATCAGTAGTATCTTTGTTTGATTCTTTCCTTCCATTCCATCCTAAGTTTGGATCCAGCTTGGTCGTATGTCATTCCATCTGATCCGTGTTGTCTGATCTTTTGGTCTTATCTTTACCCTTTCCTCCCAAGTCCCCTGTAACTTGGTATCCCCTGTTCAGCTGACATCCTCTGCGTGACGTCATCACCTTTGGTCTGTCCCCGACACGCTGAAAGAAGTTAAATTTCTTAGATTTATTATCGGTACTAAAGATATCTCTATAGATCCAGGCTAGGTTTAGGATATATTTAACTAGGAAATCCCTTATTTATACTATAATATCTAGGTTTTTCTAGGATTCTATAACTTCTACTAAAGGTTTATCTATAACTACTCTAGAATCATAGTCCTACTAACTAACCTCCTAAAAAAGGAGCCAGAACAGCCAGAAGCCTGGTCTGGTTAACCTAGAACCTCATAAGCTAGCTATGTTTTATATACTACTTACTAAGTTCAGAAAGGCCCCCCTACTCTACCACTTTAACCCCTAGAAACCTATCCAAGCTAAGATAGATATCTTAAATATAGGGATAGCCAGGATTATATCCTAACTTGATAACTAAGGTATCTGATACCTAGTAGTATTCTGGTTATAAAAATTCATAGGATCTAAGCTTAAGTACTCTATACCAGATTAGGAACTATTTATAATTATCTATATATTTAAACACTAGAGATACTATCTAGAGGGCTCCTGATACCCTATCAAAGTCCTTAGCAACTATACTAATCTCTGGTTATTTATAACTTAGGAAAAGTTAATAGGGAGATAAGCTAGATAGACTCTTTCCCTTATATCTTTTAACTTTATCATAAAATACCGCTCTAGAAAAACTAACCCTACGGATAGCCTATCATAGAGACCAAATAGGAATAATATCCCTAGGGTAGAACTACTAAAACCTCTGTAGGACTATATAGCCCTTAAGTTTCCTAAAGGGGAATTACTACTAAGAAATCAAGAATCAGAAGAAGAAGAAGAAGATAAAAAGGATAAAGAAGTAATCGTAGAACAGGTCTAAAGGGACCTTAGAGACTCTAACCCAGACTTAGATTTAGAAGATACCACCCCAGAAACTAGGTCGGCACAGAAGACCACCCCAGAAACCAGGTTAGCATAGAAGACTACCCTAGAAACCAGGTTAGCACAGCCAGGACAGATATAGGAATATGATTCTAAGAATAACTATAAGATAAAAATAAACCTAGGTAAGACTAAGAAAGTCCCCCTCTAAGAACAGAGGAGTATAATCTTAAAAGAATATATTTACCAAAGGGTAGTAGATAAAGACCTATAAGATATAATCAAAAACCTCCAGAAAGAGGACCCAGAAGCGTAAGAGCAAATTCAAGAACTCTAAGTAGGAAAGTCCTTAAAAGTATAGTCTGAAGAAGATAATATCTTATACTATAGATAGAGAATCTTTATGCCATACTCTAATAGGTTATATAGATAGATCATAAGCGCCTACTATAATAACCTACTATCGGGGTATTGTTACGAACCGGCTGTCAAGCAACGTGAGTATGCACTTCCAAAGTGTTACTTACCGCAAGCCGTTATCCTGCAACTGTACCGTCGCCGTCGCTGGGCCTTACACGGGCTCGAGTCTATAGGGATCCTTGCACGGTAATGCTTGATCAGGGTGTCCGCTAGCAAGTCAGTCACGAGTGATGGAATCACGAGTGAGCTCCCAAGCTAGTTTGAGGTTGGTCTTCAAAGGTTCGACTGTGATCAAAGTATCTGAATTGCTGTACTGTAGGTCTCAATAACAATAGAGTAATAATCGCGAAGAACTAAATACATGATGGGTAACGAGTGTCCTTATATATCTAGTCCTTCCTATCCGTCGATGGGACCGGATCCCATCCGTCAGTGTGATCCGATCTCATCCCATCGTGGGATGGGATCTTGTCCTATCCATGCATGGGATCTATTGTTGGAATAGTCCCGTTGGTCACGTGTCATGGGGCCGGAAGTGGCCTCTCGTGCACCGTCCTTCCCGTATAGCCAGTATTCTTTCAGGCGGTTGATAGCATGCCGAATATGGCTCCTGTTGATGCCTGAGGCCCCAAATGGACATGCGTCCATTTGGGCCACGCGTCCATTATGGCCGGTCGTCCAGTCTGGGTCCGACCGCCAACTGATTGGTCCGTAATTGCTCCTGGGAGATCCCTCCGTAGTGGGTCCGTAACACCATCCCCCTCTTTCAGGTCTTTTGGTCCCCAAACGACCTTTGATTTGTTTTTAAACGTTGAACCCCCCTCAGGTAGGTGAGGCCCTTACTTTTCTGTATTTTCCCGTGTTCGTTGACCATGTCTTCAGCAGGAATCTCCGGCTCGAAGCTCCAAGATCGTATCGCCACTCAGGGTTTTCGTTCAATTGCCCCTTGCGATCGTTGTGTGCGTTTGCATAAGTCGTGTGTCCGTTCTTCGAACTCGAAGAAGTGTAGCGAGTGTGTTCGCGGCGGTGGAAAAGTGAAGTGCACCATGACTTCTGCTCCAACGTATTCCGAAGCCGAATGGCGAAAACTGGTTAAAATGCAGGCCGAGATTGCGGAGGAACGTCGCGCCGCTCTCGAAGCCAGTCAAGAGGCCATGGCTCGCCTGATGCGTCTTGATCGTCATGAAGCCTTGCTCCGCGATCGGGCTGGTGACTTCATTGCCCGTGATTACAATAAGATTGCCCAGCTCGAGGAACTTGAGCGTCGTGAGAAAGAAGAGATCGAGCGTCTCGAAAAAGAACGTGTCGAGGCCGATCGTCGTAAAGAGTGTGAAGCAGAGTCTTCCAGTGCCGCTACTGGGTCCGATAAAACTGCTCTTCCGGTCGTCCGTGACCAGGTTCTTGCGGCAACGTGTGCTGGTGGTGATCCTACTCTGACGCAGATGGTTGCGTCGGTGGATCCCAGTTTTTCTTTGGATGGTATTGATTTCGACGCTTTCTTGCGTTCCGTCCCGCAGGGGTTCTCTTCGCCTGCGCGTAGTACTGCCTCACCAATTGGTGACAGCCAGTCAAATTCTTGATGGGTTCCCATGTGTTTTCCGAGGTAGGGTAACCTTGCCATTTCACCAGGAGTTGTTGCTGATTGTCGTGCCATCGGTCCGCTAGGATTTCTTCAACCTCGTATTCTTCTTCGCTAGCGTTTTCGATTTCAACTTCTGTGGCGTTTTCTGCACTCTCTGGCGCTGGTTCCAATAATGAGACATGAAATACTGGGTGAACTCGTTTCATGCTTTCCGGTAGTCGTAGTCGGTAGTTCACGGGTCCAGTTTTCTCGTCAATGGTAAATGGTCCTAGTCGCTTGTGGTCCAGTTTCTCACTTGGTCGTTTTGTCTTGATGTTTCGTCGCAGCAAGTAGGCCTTGTCGCCTGGCTTCATGTCTGGTCCGGG